CTGCAGAACAGGAACCTGCTGTAAAACAGCAATTATGCTGAGTCAGGCTTGATTTTTAGTAATCTTTTCCTGTTAAATAAATCAAATCAAATCAAATCAATACAAAAAATATATCATAAACAAAGTGATGTGGCAAAAATTTTTTTGGATTTTGTTTAAAGGCCCAATAAACATGACAGTTCTAAAAAAATGTGAATTTTCTGACTATTTTTTAAAGGGTCAGGCTATAGGGTTAAATATGTAACTCCCAGCTTTAAGGAGAGAGAACTAAGTGTTACTGAACATCTGATGCCTGCAGAGTGAACTCTCWGTCTGATGCTGTTGTCATGTTTCACTGAGACATTTTGTTAAATCAGCACTTTCTGACAATCTGACAGATTCCTCTGCTCGGCTCTGTCTCATCCCTGAGATGGTATACTCCACATTTGTTATAATGTCATAATAAAGTGTTCAGCTTTAAAGCAAACCAACCTCAGACTGTAGAGGACTTTTCCATCGGGGTAGACTCGCAGCATGACGTTGTCAGTGGTAGTGTCATGTATGAAGGACTTCTTGGAGTGAACAAAGAACATGTCAGGGACCCAGATCTTCTTCACCAGACGACCATCAAAAGTCATACTCTGGTTGGTGTTGCTTTTAAAGGCCAGACGCTCGTCTTTCCAGTAGTGCCTCAGATACAGCGTCATCGTAAAATCCTTAAAAAAAACATAAAAGTTGTATTTTCACAGCAGCGTTTTAACCGTCAGTAATCTCACAGTTTGTAACACRTACCATATCAACTTCTGAAATGGCATCCAGGCTCTCAACCTGAACATCCACGCCGACGGGGACCGCAGGTCCTGGAAACCAGATCAAAATGTTAGTCCACGTGTGTGTGGGCCTGGGCTCCACCATCTTTGATCTCCTGTCACTGCAGGTTCATTCAGTCAGATTCATGACTCATTGGTCCTGTCCCAACACCCACACTCCCACCCTCGTTCCCTTGTGCACTACAAATGTGCGTTCATGTTGAAGGTGTAGTGTCTAAGAGTGGGGCCTCTTCTCAGGAATACACAGATGTGTTTTGTCTCTTGGTTCTCCAGCTTCAGAGCTCGGCACATATKACCATATTAGGAAAAGGAGTGCTTAAAGTATACCGTGACAAAATTTATGGTACATCTGTTGGACTACACTGTAAAGAGGCTTGTACACCCCTAGCCTTAGCCTTCATACTTCATCTTTCTTACTTGGTGAATCATTTGGCTTGRAGGCCATARTTTGGTTTTTGCCTGTAATCTCCTGGACTGCAAAATAAAGGTTCTTGCTGTTCAACCAGCCTGTTTCAGAGTTCTCTCTTCACTGAGCAGCAGCAGTTCTGCAGAACCAGAAGACATGGTTTTTACACCTCAAAGGGTTTGAGTGAGCAGTGTGTCCCACATTCTACACATCCGCCCTTAGCCCCGCCCATTTTGGGTACTATTTGCACCCTTCCATGAAGTCTGCATATTTAAGGACTTCGGTGAAGTGTATTACCCACAATTCATTGCTGCATGTG